ATATGCCAAGAATGGATTTGATTTAGAAGTTGGTCGCTTTCCACATCCAGGAAGACCCACATACAAACACGTGATAAAATCTGTGGGTTTTCCTATGTCAGAGGCAACATGCGAGACCTATCCACAGATCTCTAGAAGGCTTAAGGATGAGACGGCTTTCCCCAGGGGGTCTGCTGTGTGCACCAGAGAAGATGGCTTCTGGCAAGACCAAAAGCAAAGAGTTCAAGGGGAAAGCCTTTTATAAAAAGCATTTCCCAGGTCCATGATAGCTTCCCACAGAACTCAGAGGCTTTTGGTAACAATGCCTCGGCCCACAGAGCAGACTCCTCAGTGCCACAAGCGAGCAGGAACATTGTGAGGCTCTTGACCCCGGCACTGACTCAGCCAGGTTCCTTCCTCAGTGCTGTGACCTGGAGCACTGAGGCCTGAAATTGGGGTGTGCCCGAGAACATTTTTTGGCCCAGGTTTTTGTGCTGCCACTCTGTGGTACTAACACCCCAAACTACTAGTAGCTTAGATACCAGTTGCACTTGCAACCTCCATCCTGGTATCAGTTCCAGTCCATCCATCCTGGTGACCTTGGACCCTGTAGGACTTCTTTTGCCCCGAGGCTTCGACACTCTTTCTAGAGCTCTCTGCTTGCGGGTCTTTGAATTCCAAGAAAGACCAAGACTAAAAGTAATCTTGCCTTTATTCACAGAGATTGTCTCCTCCTTGTTTCTCTTCATCTCTTAGGACAGATTCTGGAGGTAGGCCACCCCTCAGAAACAATGGCCGTATTGCATTGCTAGACCCAACCTCCCTGATTAGGCCTTGGTCTGGTCTCTCTTCTCAGCCAAAGTCTTCCTCACCGAAGCTATCAGAGAGGCCATCGGGGCAGCCTGGCCATTTCCAGCTGTTTTGGTGCTCTCAGCAAGGACAGACACTGAGGTTGCATTTAGTGGAACAGAAAATCTCTTATACCCTGTTTGTAAAAGAAACAGATTGGTGCCCAAGAGCTGCAGGGTAGCTGGCTTGTTTCCTTCAGGATATTCATCAGTGCAACATGTTGATGGTAACAGCCTGACATGGTTTACTCTGCTCTCGAGATGCAGCTCAAAACAGCAGTGGCTGAGATCTGTGAGTGGCTTGGCAAGAGCACCGAAGGCCACTAAGTGCATTGTTATCTTACTTGCGTTCTTTGGTGCTTTACCTGAAGGGGGCTGCAGATGAGGAACAGAGGCTGGCAGAGGTTTATTTTCTGCTGCTGTCATAAATTCCCAGTTGGGCCAACTGTACTATTGATTGCTTTTACTGGGGCAGGTGAGAACAGCTGTTCAGACAGATGCTTTGGCCACTTATGCCTCTGTGACTGTGCAGTGGACACCAGTTTTCGTTTCCCTGCCTCCCAGAGGAGCAATGTCAAAGAAATCCCTCCTCCAGCTTCACACGGAGCAGCATCATTCTCGTTGTAACAGCCAGGGACTGGTTGACACCAGGGAGCCAGAAACACCAGAGAAACCTGTCTCTGTGGTGACAGAGTCCCAGCCGGCTACCCGCCAGCAGAGCGAGCCTTGTGCTGGTCTGTTCAGGGAGTCGGGGTGTCTTTCAGCCAAGGTGAACACTCATGTTGCTACTGCTGCCCTGGCTACGGTGTTGCTCAGTCCCCCTTATGCCAGAGATTCAGCAGCATTTGGTAGAGTTACAGGTTTTCATGTATCGTATTGGAGACAACAACAACAGAAGAGACTGGGTTATGACAGCACTTTTGTGGGAGATACGAGCATAAGAAAATGTCCTCTGAAGAGGGAGGAACTGACTTAGTTCAGCCTCGTAACAGCGAGCCCCAGGCACGGTGCTGATGGTGTCGCTCATGGGTGTAACTGTGCCGCCTTGTCTCTCCCCAGGGGCTGGAGTGGCTCTGCTGAATGACCATATTTATGTAGTTGGTGGGTTCGATGGGACGGCACATCTCTCCTCGGTGGAAGCCTATAATATTCGCACTGATTCCTGGACAACTGTAACAAGCATGACAACCCCCCGCTGCTACGTGGGAGCCACCGTGCTGCGGGGAAGGCTGTATGCAATCGCTGGGTAAGCGGCTCCCCTGGGCTGGAGAGGGAGATGCCCTGCACATCTGTTTGCTGGAACAAGTGAGTTTAGGTGACGCAGCCTGCTGCCCTGTTTCAGGTGGCCTCTCCTCGCATTTACATTTCAAGCTTTATGAGAGGAGACAGCCCACAGAGTCACCATGCCCAACCTAAATAGGCAGAGTGATGGTCCAGGGCCAAGGCAGGCAGGAGAGCAGCAGCAGACAGCAAAAGGGAGCCTAATGCAGTGGTTTTATTTCAGGCCATTCCTGCTGTACGCAGCTGTCCAGCCTCCCGGGAAGGAGTCTGGACACCTCAACCACTTCCTTCAGCAGCATCCCTCACCTGTAACTTTCTGTCCTTGCAGATATGATGGCAACTCACTGCTGAGCAGCATTGAGTGCTACGATCCCATCATTGACAACTGGGAAGTGGTAACCTCCCTGGGGATGCAGCGCTGTGACGCTGGAGTCTGCGTCCTTCGGGAGAAGTGATCTGGAGGGAACTTACAAAGAAGAACAACCTAAAAAGTCTCAGCTGGAGGAAGAGTCCCAAGTGATTTGCAGTGACTGTTCTTGAGAGTTGTGGATGCTGTGGAAATAGGCACCAGAACAGCAGCTTTCTGTGCTGCTTTTGACTAGAGCATGTGCATAAACGTGTTCTCTCAGCAGTCATTTGAAATCGGGGGCTCTGTGTGAAGCTGGCGAAAGGTGGTGAAGTAGGTCAGGAGAAGCTGCATTCTCTGCTGTTCCTGTGGCTAAGTCTATCGGCAGAGCAGAGATGCCCCCAGGCTTGGCATCAGCCAGCCTGGTGAATGCTTCCAAGGACATGTACATACAACTGGGTGGTCTCTTCAGCCGCTGCAGGAGCACGCAGGTCCTCTGGTTGCTCTCAGCCACATGGATGTGTGAGGGTGAATCCAGCTGCTCTTATGTTCCAGCTTCAATTCATCTTGTACATACTGAATGTTTAAACATGCTCCTCAAGCACACATCAGTGCAGAGCCAAATTGAGTGAGCGTGTGTAAGGGGGTCCTGCACTGTAGCTGCGTCTGCAGGTTCCTCACAGGTCTGCACACAAAAGGAGTCGCAGATTAAAGCTGTCAACTACTGAGACCCAAAAGCCTGAGGCTGCAGGGGGCAGAGGGCAGGGGGAAAAGCTCATTGCCTGGTGTAGAAGCAGGTCTGCAGCATTCGTGCTCTGATCAGGGGGCTCAGCAAGGTTCATCACATCATATTTCCCTCGAAAAGCTTGACAGACCCAGCTGCAAAGCGCTGCATTTTCTGGCAGCAGGAGCCTTCCTGTGGTGCGGCAATGCCTTTGCTCCCACCCCCGTGGGGAGATCACCTTGCAGAGGCTGAGGCCCTGAAAGTAGGGACACAATTGCTACTATCCCTGTAGATCTTGCTGGTGAGTGACTGGGGTTCGTCCCTGGACAGACCTCTGTCCAGCGCACCCACGTCAGCCTTTCAGTCAAGTTCATTGTGTTGATTTTCCTTTTACCTAGGATTTTTCTGCTTCCAGGGCCATTTTGGAGTGACGTCCAGGATTCCATTTTGCCCTTTGTTCTCAGCTGTTTATTCCCCTGCCTTGTAACTCCACATCCTCTTACACTAGCTATCCTTCGCCTGCCCCACGAACCCCAAGTGAGAGCTTCATCACTGGCTCGCTAGAGCACTCTCTCCTCAGCATGTCTCCTGCCTTGCTGCGTTTCTGGGAGCACGGGCTCTCCTCCGCCATCAGCTTGGCCCCCGCAGTGCCTGGGCTCTGTGTAGTGCTGCTCGTTGAGCTTACTGCTGACTCCTTGCTTGGGGGACAGGGTGGGATCAGGGACGTGGTAGCATGACTTAATTATGCACTTTCAGCCAATGCTCTGACCTTCTGCGTTTGTTTCTATCACACAAGTGTTCTGTGGTTTTGTTTCCTATGTTTATTTTTTAATGAAAATATAAAGAATAAAATATTTCCTGAGCCAGTGGGAATTTAGCTTCTGTTCTCTACCTTCAAGACATTTGTCTAACTACTGTGTGGAGGGTATGTACAAACCCGGTGTTAGACCAGGCAGCCACCTTCAGCTGTGCCTCTGCCCTGCAGCTTCAGTGTGGTAGTAAAAAACAACTGCTCCATCTGTTGAGATCCACGGCACAAAAACCTGTCAGGCCTGGAGGACTTGCTAAGTGGGGGTGAATTTGTTGCAAGATCTGCTTGAGAAGAGTGTGGCAGCAGAGATGAGGAAAAGGCTGATAATACTGTTATAATAGAGTCCACAGTTGCAAAAAATAACAGCCCCTTTGTCCGCCACAGAAATGTGGGATGAATGGAGCCCGGTATTAATTCGTCTATCGATGGTGTGGCTACAAAATACCTCTCCAAAACCTTCTGTTGATTTCAAGGCAAACTGCAGCGTCCTGCTCCAGCAGCCTTTTGATGACTGAATGCTCTCCCCACCGCCTGGTCCCCCAGTAAACACCTGACCCATTATTCTAGATTTCAAATAGCCTCTCCTGACATGTCTCCCTCAGGATGAACTTCTCTGTCACTCCTGAGCCAGCGAGAAGTATGTGAGGAACCAAAAAGGTAAAAGGACCCGCTTGGGAGAGTGCAATATTCACGAGAAAGCACTCACTGATTTCGTACGTGGATCTGTCTTACCCCGTGCGCCTCTGACACCAGCAGGAAGACAGGTACGTGGAGGGCGACTTTCCAGGCTACCGAACCTGGAGCTGTCAGTAGCTCCTCCTTCCCTTCCCCAACCAGCCCTGCTCTCCTGCAAAGGCCTCTGGGGGGATTCAGCTCCAGAACTGGCTAGTACTGGAAAAAAAAAAAAAACACGGGTCCAGCGTGTGGTTCTGCTGAAGCTCAGCAGATGAAGCGCCAGCGTCAGAACTGGGTCACAGCAGGACATGACCCTATTCACAGCGGCCAGCAGACCCCATCGCTGCCTTTCCAGGACAAGATGTACTGAAGGGTTTGAAGAGGAATTGGCATTTCTAGCTAGATAATGGACAATATAAACCTTCAAAATGGTCTGCATCTGTGCATAGCTAGAGATGAGAAAACTCACAAGCTACTGTTGAAGGTAAAACAAGGGTCAAAATGTTCTGCTTGGAAAGAAGCTGGTATTGATTCTGACAGACCAGTAAGAATGAAGCTCTGCTCCATGAATAATCTAGGAGAAAATGCTAAAATGCAGAATTAAGCATAAACTTTCAACACCAGACAGCTCCCACCCAAGAATGTTAAGGCCCCTTTGGGTTGGTAGGCTTTTCTTTCTTGAGAAGTTCCAGAGGACTGTAACGAAGACAAGCCCCACACCAGCAGCCGGCCCTGAACAACCTGCCCAGCTCAGCACAGCCTTGCCCGGCGGCAGTCGTGGACCACAGGCTGGGAGACGGCAATGTAGTCTTGTGCCGCTCAATGGGGTTTTATGGCAGTGGATTTTGCCAAAAAAACTTCATCTCAAGTTAATTTGACTAGCAGGTGGTATCGAGGTAAGTGTTGATGCAACAGTTAGCTTTTGACTTGCAACTTGAATGGACTTCACCTGGGCCAGGAAGAGGGCTTACTTTCCTCTCCCCCCATCTGATCAGGATCTCCATCCCTACCGATTATGTTACCATCTAAATTAGTATGTGCACACTTAATACAATCGAGTTGAAGCCCTACAAATGTGTTACTTTATGTCACGCTACAATCAGGGAGGCAAGGGCCTTTGCTTCATGCCTCCTCCACCGGAACCTCCTGCACCCACCAAACGCGTGGGCAGGAGCAGTGCTTCCTTCGGCTGGTCATGGGAGGCTCCGAAGTTCTGGAGGGGGCAAGTGAAACCGAACTCTCACTGCTCAGGTGCCTTTGAGGCAGCACGGGCTGTCTGGCTCTCAGGACACAGCGCACTGCCTGAGCAGGGATGGAGCCAGGGCTCCTGGGCACGTTCGCTCTGGGTCGTTTTTGTAAAAGTGGTGTTTGCAGTTAGACAAGAAGAAATCACAGAATCAAAGAATAATTGCGGCTGGGAGAGGCAATCTGGTGGTCTGTAATCCTGCTCGGAGAAGAGCCAGTTTGGATCGGGTTTCTCAGGACCTTGTTCCATTGAGTCCAGAGTATCTCCAAGCACGGGGATCCTGTGACTTCTCTGAGCCCCTGAGTTGCTCTGGCTGCAGAGCAGATCTGAATCCCTGTCACCAGCCGCTATTGGGCACTGGCTATTTCTGCAGGAAACTCCTGCACTGTGATAGTGGGGAACGGCTGAACTGCAGGAAACCTTCTCTCTGGTGCCACAGGCACCAAACCCCATGGAAGGAGGACACATCTGGGGCGAGGGAAGATGCAGAAACTTGACAGCATAGAGCAACCTCCTCTACAGATAAACCTGCTGCCTGCGCCTGGCATTTCACAGAGGCAGAGGAAAGCTGAACAAAGTTGCTCAGGGTGGGAATTGGAGACGGCAGAACTGAGGACGTGTAGAAATGTCCCCCCTCTGTCACCACTCTTTAGGGGAAGTCACTGTACTGTAGTGAGGACAGGACCAAGTCTCAGCCCCTTCAGCTCACCGGAGCCGTCGCCGAGTCGCACGGCTGTGCCAGTCACTGCCGAACAGCTGCGGGTGCAGAGTTCCCCCCTCAGCGCAGTTCCTCAGTGAATGGAGACGCCCCGGCTCCTGCTCAGCCACCAGCCAAATTTTTTGCCTCTTTCAGGCAAATCAAGACCTTTCTGCGGTTGGTTTGTGACTGGCTTTTGAGCAGCGGGTGCCCCAGGGCTGCTTGCGGTGGGTGTTTCTGAGCTTCACACCTCCGTTATTGCATCCACTCCCCTCTCGGCTCTGCAAGCGCTGCTCTGGCTCCCAGCCCACATCCAGAGATGGCTCAGGTGCTCTGATGCTCCATACACTGTTCCTGCCTTACAAACACCAACCTGCTTCACAGACTGTGGGGTTTGTGTCTACCAGCCACGCTCACCTTGCAGCTCATGGCAGGGAGCAGAGCTGAGGCCGACAACGCAGCATTCAAGACTGCGATTGCCCAGGCTGGAGCCCGAGGTGAGCAGCTGGATTGCTGACGAAATCCTGTATCTTTATTTAGTACCTTGAACATCAGTTCCCATTTCTGGCTTCTCCTGAGAGTTCTCAGGAGCAGCCAGTCAGGGCACAGCGAGGTAGCAGGAGAACGGTGTATATTTACAGTAAATGGTCTGGAAAAAGCAAGAATCAGGGCTCTGCTGGGATCTGTTTTACTCCCTAAAGAAGCAGTGGCTACAGTCAACAGGCCTGCTTTCAATCTTTCCAACAGTGCTAACAGCGGGCCGCTAGCAGCGGGTCCTGAGATCAGCACAAAGCCAGAAGTGCCTCAAAGATGCTCAGTGAAGAGCAAGCCCAAGAGTCACTTGGGCCCCGGGACCTCATCTTCAGCACTGCTGCCTGTAAGCACTGACACAGCCTGCTGCTTTTCCCAGGCTTTTCAGGGTCTGGCTGAACTCTGGCTTCCTCTCCTGGAAAACATCTTGCTCTGAATGTCAGCACCTTGCCCCTTTCAGTGCACTCTTCCCCTCTCCTTCCCCATTTCTGAGGGGTTCTCTCTGTACCAAGCAGCTAAGCGAGCTGCTGTGTGCAGCAGGAAGAGCGTAGCCCAGGCTCTCAGAAATGCTGATGCAATCGCTACACGCAAAATACGCACAGCAGCTTCGCAGGGACACAATTTCCTTTTGTCCAGCATCAGCTGAGCTCTGCTTTCTCTGGCCGCTGTAACAGAAGTCAAGCGTCTCCAGGTTCCCATGCCCGGGAAGCGACTGTCGCCGATGGGCCCACCTGGCAGCCAAACGGACTTTCGCTGCCAACTGTTCACCACCAGCCTGTGACACAGCCGCCTTCTCACCGGGATCCTCCGCGCCCTACTGCTGCCCAGCCCGCGCCGCCCCCCCATCCGCAGAGCGGGAACGGGAGGCTTTGTCAGGCCCCCCTCGCTTCACCCGTGCCTTGGCAGAGGGGCCTCCGCAGCGGCTGGCGGCGAG